CACATCATGCACTCTGAGTGTTTGGGCGCAAATGGTAGTAAAAACAAGATAATTAGAAACTAGGGATGCACAAATACAGAGTATTTGGGCGAGTACTCATACTCGTCCAAATGCTCCCATACCAGAACTTCCGGTCAGAGGGAGATTTCCTCTGACCAGCAGTGCCGCGAGGGAACATGGAGCCGGCTTCCCAGCCAATGAGCATAGAGTAATGACCCGCCTCCCTGATTGGCTCGGAAGCCGGCTTCCCAGCCTATCAGCATGGAGCCGCCTTCCCGGCTTATCAACAACGATCTAAGCCAACAGCCGGTTCAATGCTGTTTGGCTAGGAAGACGGCTTTGGCATTTATCATGGAGCCGGCTTCCCGGGCAATCAAAATGCCGGGCGACAGGAAGTACCGGTATCGGCAAGTACCGAAAGATATAGATCAGTACTTGTAACTGAAAAACTGGTATCTGTGCATCCATATTAGAAACCATATGATTGATAATGCATGGTAACAGAAAATTATTTTTGTTCTGGATCTAATCTTTGTTTGCTCTGTATTTATTTAAATCTATCTACTTTTTGAAGATATAATAAAAAAAAGGTAGATTAAATGTCTTACTTTATTTTAAAAACCTCTGACATTCCAAAGTAAAACAATTTAGGGGAAGCTCTCACATACAACTATTTCTATAACTGGACGGGCAGCAAGGGAGAAGCTCAATCTTCAAGAAAAGGGCATGGAATGGCACATTATACTAAGTGTAACAATAAAATAGCAAATAAGTATTTGAAGTATTTAAATGTACATGCTTCCATTACCTTCTGGCTCTATACATCTAAGCGAGTGGGAACCGTTTTACCAAACCAACAACAGAACCTATTTAACTGTTGAGGCTTTAAAAGAAAGAGTGATATCTATACAAGGGCGGTATATAAAGATGAACAGAGGTAAACAAAGAGATCGGTTTAACTAGGGCAGCAGCTAACGATTATTTTCATAATCGTTCTGTTGCCCGATTAATCGATTAGTTGCATTACAAAATCTCTCTCTCATAATGAGAATAATTGCCAACTATTCTTAATCGATTATATTGATTAGTTGTTGCAGCCCTAGGTTTAACGCTGTGCTACAGCAAGAGGCTACTAACCAGGTGTATAACACTGCATCGTCATTGCATCACTCTCAGTATACAATCAGTTCATCTTTCTTTACCTTCATATATAGATATTACTCCTTCCTTCTTTTCTGCAGATATTACCCCTTCCTTCTTTTTCAGCATCAACAGTTGAATAGTTTTGTTACATGGTTATGTTATTTCTTAGGTACCAAGCTTGCTTTGCCAGCAGGTGCAAAGCAAACTTGGTAGATGCTTACCATAATGTTATTAGTTCACATGCCCACGGTCCAAGTTGTCATGATACCAGTATAATCGAGCCAGCAACTGCTTAACATTGGTAGAATTGCCAGCTGTGAAGGAGTGTGAAGGAATCTGCAAAGTACTATCCAATGTAATACATTAGCATCAAACAGGCATGTCACTGGTAATAGTTTATTAAAAACAAAGTAAGACGCTTATGGGTAAAGCTAGCTGGTAGATAAGTAGATATACCAGTAGCATTCATTGGCCACTGAAGGTGGGTGTAAAAGGGGCCATAGACTTGTTAAGCAGGAAAGTGAGCAGGCGGGTTGAATAAAATGAAGAAAGGAAGGGGAAAAGGTAATTCAGTGTCTATGTTTCTATTAAAGATAAATTGAGAAGAAAAAGGTACCTAGTAACTCAGTTTCCAGGACAGCATATGAAAGAGGCTCCGCCCACCAGGAAACATCATCCATATAACAAAAGAGCATTTGAACCAAGTCACCTCAGTAAAAATATAAAGCCGAAGGAACTAACAAGAAAAAATAAAAAAAACTGTGAAATAACCTATATACCAGACCCAAGAGGTAAGGGTGGGAATCTGCACTCTCCTGTAAGATTCCTGGAAACAGAGTTACCAGGTACGTAACTCTGGTTTTCCCCAAGTCATCTTCCAGGACAGCATAGGAGAAGACAAGGGAGAACCAAACACTACTTAAGTTGGGAAGGACCACGACCTGCAAGACCTTATGGCTGAAAGCTTGGTCTTAGATGGAGAATACATTGATTCTGTAGTGTTTGACGAAAGTCTGGAAACTGGACCAAGTGACTGATTTGCAGATATGTTCAGGCGTAGCCCCAGCCTTATCGGCCCAAGGCCCTGGTGGAATGGGATATAGTATAAACTGGCAGGTTCAGATTTTTCAGGAAATCTTGTCTCCTGACAAAGCCCTGTAGTGGGAGGAGCAAAATGTGTAGACATGATTCCCTCAGCTGTCCACCTCCCGCTCATCATGTCTGAGAGATTGCTATTGAAAACTGCAACTGTTTCAGTCAAGGACACTATAAAAAGGTGCGAAGATGGCAAATTGAACAACGCTGTCCATGGATTTCTAAATGGCATATGAAAGAATTTACCATCTGATATCTGCAGTAGGTTCCATATGGGGGATTGTGAGTAGTGACATTATCACTGTGTGCGATCAGTAAAAACCTGTGTAAGAGCCGCTTTTATAAACTGCAATCGCACCTGTTATTAACACTGGAGTCTGTGTGGTCAACTGTGAATAACGTTAATGCTATTGTTTATGGTTAAAATTGGCATGCATATGGACTGCTTGGGTCAATCAGAGCAAAGTTTACGGATACAATGTGGCACTGAAAAAAAAAAGAAGCTGGATCTGGTTTAAGAATGATCTTGTCGGTAAAATAGTACAAAAATGTTCCGCAATGGATAGGGCATGAATGTCACTTATCCGTCTAGCCGAGACAATGGCTACTAACAACGCTGATTTGATAGTGAGATTTTTGTCAGAACACTCTGCTAGAGGTTCAACGGGTTTGTCAAATAAAGGTTAACTTTATTTGACAAACCCATACCCTTTGGGATTTCCTTTTCAGATACCATGCCGCCAGGTGGACAGCTCACACTTGCAGGTGGCATGCTGGTCCTTGTTGCAACAGGTTGGGTTTACCTGGTAGGATTCGGGATGCTCTGACACTTTAGTTGCGAAGAGTTGCAAATCAAGTCCTTCTTGGCAAGAATGGTACTATTAGAATCACCGAGGCTTTCTCCTTGATGACCTTCTCTATCGCTTTCGTTAATAAGCTGAAAGGGGAGAATGTGTATGCCAGGTGAAAGTTCCATGGGTGTGCAAAGGTGTCCAACCCCAAGCTGCCATGCTTTTCTTCCATAGAGAAGAACTGACTAAGTTCCTTGTTGATTCTTGTTGAAAATAAATCCACTTCCTGTTCCCCCCCACCATGTGGAGATCAGCTGGAAGGTTTGTTGATCCAGGGACCATTCTGATTGTCTAAGCTCTTTTCTGCTCTGAAATTTCACCTTATGGAGACCAAATTTAGTTTTCCTCTTAAGTGGATTGCAGTAATGGATAAAAGATTTGCTTACCAAACTGAAATCCTCTTTATGTGTGCAAGGAAAGAGCAACCACTTTTCTGGGTCTGCCAATTCGGCTTTGATAATTTCCTTCAAGAAGCACTCCAGGAAAAACTTTTATTAACCTTTGCGGTGGGGCTACCTCCGCACTGGAAGGGTTAACGGTTTGTTTTTGTCTAGGTGCTAAAACAAAAAAGGGAGGATGATATACTCACTTAAACTGCTGAGCTGGCTTGTTTTTAGACCGGCTCTTCCAGCCTCCTTTGCAGCGGTCTAAGGTCCCGTAAATCATGATGTTCTATACTTTCCAACACAGCACCCCCAAACACCTATTCCACCACATCACACTCATACACCTGTTCCGCACTGCACCTCCATACCCCTGTTCCACCACCGCACCCCGGCACACCTGTTCCACCACTGCATCCCTGCACCCCTATTCCACCACTGCACCCCCATACACCTATTCCACCACTATATCCCCGCACACCTGTTCCACACTGCAGCTCCGTCCACCACTGGCTTCAGAAGGTGGGCCCTCGATTGTCGGCGGGCCAGCGACGAGTGAGGGAGATCGCGTCAGGAAGTAGAGCAGCGGCGTGCGCGGCTTCAGCGTCCTGTGCGGTGGGCGTGGCTTACGCGGCCTGTGCCGTGGGCACGGCGGCTGCAGCGTGTGACGTGCGGCTCAGGCCGCATGTGGAGCCCGGAACAGCCCCGAACAGGCAAATCAATCGATAGCCGACGAATCGACGATCGAAAACGTTGCCAACGTTTTCAATCGTCGATTTTAATCGACTAAATCGATTCACTGTTGCAGCTCTAATACATTATGTATAGAAGTGAGGATGCTGAGGAACATTTCAATGCTGCAACATAGGAGACAGGCTTCAGTGACCAGAAAAGCAGGGAGCAGGCTCTGCACTTCGGGTGACTATAACTTTTTTTTAATATGTCGCCAAACACAGCACCAGAAAAAAATATGGCGCAGATAAGAAGCGCTTAAATTTGGCGCAGGAGTCAGCACAGGTCCAAAAAATGGGGCAGCATGTTTTAGAATTCGGCCCAGACATTTCTTCAGCTGCAGTAACCCCAGAATTCTGGCACAAACGCCATATTGAATTACCGTTTGTGAGAGCGGTTCTCCCTTGTCTGAGATTGGGCGGCTGCCATCCTTATGCTGAAGCCTAAATCTACCCAGCTTGGAACTTTCTTAGTTCTGCAGGGCAAGGAAAAAGTCCAATCTTTGAGTAAAAAAGATTTCTGTTCAAAAAGCCGATTCAGGATGAGTTACAAGGTATATGCAGAGCGGAGCTTCTATTGTGTGCGTATCACCACATTCTGCTCTAGGCCAGGCACCCCACCAAGCATCATTTTAAAATGGTGCTGTGGCCAAGTAGTGCCCAAACTAATTAAAGAAAAAGTAAATTCTTATATACTGGAACTCTCTGGCAAATCTACTTGCACTCAATTAAAACCCTAAAATTGCAGTCTACCATTATACTCACATATACCAAAGGATACAATGTCAGTAGCTTACTTTAAACTTGGTGGGGTGATTGTCTGGGAGTCCTTCTCGACAGCTGCAGCAGCTTCCCATGATATCAGTGCATTAGGTTCCCTCTGTAAGTCATAAAGAAAAATGTTTTCGTTTTACCTTCATAACATTGTATGAGATTTTCGCCAAAAATATTTTTATTTGGTTTTAGAACGGATAATAATAGTACAAAAGTAAATCAGTAGACAACGGACAAAATATAAGACAAACAGCATAGGCAGGCTAAGGTACATATACCATTGTATGAGATTGCTGTATACAAGACTCCATTAAGTTTATAATAGAATTTAACAATGAATTTTGAATTGTAACATGATCTAAAAGGACAAAGTCCAGTACGCTGTGTTTACAAATACCATGCGTCTACTTAAAAAGGAGAACTATGGGGTTAGGGCTTTTCCACATAGTTCTCCTAAGGGTAACGGGAGGACACAAACTAGCGTCCTCCCTTCACCCTAAGCTCAGTATACCCCGAGCTAGAGCTCGCGTTATACTGAGATGCCGCAGTATACCGCAAGCTGCAGCTCGCAGTATACTGAGACGCCGCAGCTGATACGGATCCCGATAATTATGTCTGGATCCGCCCAGCTGCGTGAGTGACAGCTGGCTCTGCCTATCTAGAGGCAGAGCCAGCTGTACCCGCCCCCTCTCCCGTCCGTTCCGCCAGTCAGCGCTGGAGGATCGGATCGGGGGGAATCCAGCCCCTCCCGTCACGGCAGAGAGCCGTGACAGGATCGAGAGGTGAGCGAACGCCGTTATGTGTTCCCTCACCTCCCGATCTACTGAGCCGACCTGTGACAGTCTCATTGTCACAGGTCGGCTAGAACTATGAGGTGAGTGAAAAGCACTCGCCTCATAGTTCTCCTTTAATCATGAACACAAGTATCCAGCCTCAACTGTAACTTTTAAGAAGCTGATCAGTGGAAGTTACACTAATGCTGTATGTAATGTGAGGGGTGAATCAATAGTCCATTGGGGAACAAGGAAGGAGGTTTTTTTTTTATTGGAGTTGTGTTTGGAGGTTATAGTGTGTTTGTGTTTTTTTCCCCAGAGTTTCAAGTGTGAGGTAGAGTGATAATGAACCGGAAGACAACTGTAACATATTAAAAGGAGACCTATGGGGTTAGGGCTTTTCCCAATAGTTCTCCTTAGTGTAACTCGAGGACACAAACTAACGCCCTCCCGTCACCCTAAGCTAAGTATACCGCGAGCTACAGCTCGCGGTATACTGAGACGCCGCAGCGGATCCTGACATCGATGTCGAGATCCGCCCAGCTGCGTGAGTAGCAGCTGGCTCTGCCTATCTAGAGGCAGAGCCAGCTGTACCCGCCCCCTCCCCCGTCCGTTCCGCCAGTCAGCGCTGGCGGATCGGAGCGAGGAATCCAGCCCCTCCCCTGTCACGGCAGAGAGCCGTGACAGGATCGAGAAGTGAGCGAACACCGGCATGTGTGCGCTCACTTCCCGATCTACTGAGCCGACCTGTGACAGTCTCATTGTCACAGGTCGGCTAGAAATATGAGGAGAGTGAAAAGCACTCACCTCATAGTTCTCCTTTAATGAATTTCCCAAATGGATCGGAAAATCTGCTAATTGCAACAAGCACAAATGACAAGAGAAACTCTTTTGTTTAGAGTTATTGCCATTTTTTTATTGTTAGCAGATGCTTACAGAGCCAGCCAGAATTGGGCTTATGCCAGTATTTAAATATTCAGTGCTAAAAAAAATTATAACTGTAAAGGCTTGCTTATGAAAGATTTATATTTGCACCCTTAGTTAGCCTTACATATTTTCAGCTCAACTTTTGTGAGTCAGTGAGAGGTCACCTACTGTCTAACAGTTGCTTTTCTATCAGCAACAAAATACAAGCTGACTTTCACCTGCTGAGAATGTCTTAAATACCAGAGCAGCATATTTATATACAGAGCATCACATTTTATCTGATGTTGTTATGCAGCCAAGGCCAAAAATAAAAATTCTTACAAAACCAGTTATCATAGCTTCTCCTTAAAAGGAGAATTATGAGGCGAGTGATTTTCACTCAGCCTCATATGGGAGTGGGCGGGTACAGCTGGCTCTGCCTCTAGATAGGCAGAGCCAGCTGTCACTCACGCAGCTGGGTGGATCCAGACAGCATTGTCGGGATCCGTTCCGGCTGCCGCGTCTCAGGATACCGCAAGCTACTGAGCTTTGGGTGACGGGAGGACGCTAGTTTGTGTCCTCCCGTTAACCTTAGGAGAACTATGGGGAAAAGCACTGACCATGAACACTATAAATTATTTTACTGAACCTTGGGGTATGTGCATATGGTACCTTACATACACCATTTATGTCTAGCCATACAGTATATACCTATACATCTCTTATAAGGCCTCTTGTTTAGGTCAGTCACATTTGACATTTAACATTCTCTCTTTTTTCTCCTATGTGGTCTCCTAAGTGTGTCACAGCCATATTGTGTCATTGTCTTACACTTTGAATGTACACTAAAAATGTTAGTTACACTCAACCTCTAAAACTGTCCAAAATACCAACGGATTCCCGTATAATTTCAGAAGTACAGAATAAGACTTATGGAGCAATAAAGAATGCCCTATTCTATTTAAGTCCCACTCGTTTTCTTGAGGCATCACAACCGTAAAATATTGTACTGCCAACTCTGGCTGACAGAAGCCATTAAGATCTGTTCCATCATGTTCCCTAGTTTATAATTGGCAATATGTACGCACACAATATAGGTAAATCAAGAGCTAATAGAACTGATGGTGTAAATATAGCACGCAGGTGGCTTTGCACACAGCAGTAATGGTGAAGTGATTGCTACCCATCTAGTAATGGCCAAATTTAGCATGCATGTGGGTAGGTTTGTAGTTTGACTTCCATGATCTGTTTATGGTTTGCAAGTAATACTTACAGGTCCCCTACAGATTTTGTAAGTTTATCCACTTGACCAGTATACAGCAAACTAATATTTGGGCACTACATGCCTGGGAGTATAACCTGAAATGGCTGTGGTATTATTGGAGCCCTCTTAATCAACTATGGATGGCAGGTGCAAGGGGTATCAGCACATAAAGCATGAGCCTCCAAAATGTAAAGAAATTAGAGGTGCACCAAAATGGAATTTTCTCGCTGAAATAGAAAATTGTCAGGCTAAAACTCGGAAAAAAAAAAAAAAAAAACTTTAAAAAAAATGTTATTTGTATTTATTTATTTTACTTTACCGGCGGGGGCTCTGGAGAAATATCAGGGGTGTAAACAGACCCCTGATATTACGCTTTTGAAAGAGATAAAGATACTGAGAACACAGCGTCCTAAATCTCTCTTTCTGCAGCCTCTGTTATGAATGAACACGGAGCCTCCATACCGATCGCTCCTGTGCATTCATAAATTGTGGATATCGTATGAGTTACTATGTCCACAATCATAAATGAACAGGAAGTGATGTAGAGCACTTCCTCTTCATCTATAATTGGGGACACAGTAAACACTCATCACTGAGCGCTTGTACGCCGCTCTCCATTCTGGCAGAAACACTGAACTCCAACTGCAGCTTTTCCAATTGGAAGCTGCTCCCTCAGTGGCTTAAACACCACAGAATCTTAATCACTAGCTGAGAGCTGCAACAAATCGGCACCTCTGGTTCAGACAGAGAGCAACAACACTGGAAAGGAAAATCCCCAACAAGCGAATCCCTTGTATGATTAAGGCCTTATAGTCCTTTTTGGGTGCTAGATACCATTACTAACCCTAGTAATCCACTTTGCAGGAAGGCACATGTAAGGGCAGCCTTGCCTGGCTTCCTTAGCACCCCCACAAGATGAGTTTTTACTGCGAGGGCATAACTCTTCTTCAGAGTCATATTACCAGTTTCTTACCTCTCTTAGGCACTCTATTGGCATGATCTCTGTATTGAAGTTCTAAAGCCTCCAAAAGTTCTCCCTGATGGATTTTTTAAAATTCATTTATAATGAAACAAATGCAGCAAAAAAGTTGGAAAAAAACCCCGAAAGGTTGATAGGAAGACCCAGAATTCCAAAGCAAGCAGGGAGTACGAGAGCAAGATCTCGCAAGCTTGAATGCCACTGACATAAAACAGGACTTAGGGCTAGTTCACACCAAGCGCGTTTCAGGAGCAGAGCAGTTACAGACCGGATCAAAACTGTGTCCAATGTATTCCAATGGTATTTGGGGCTCTAGTTCACACTGCAGCGTTCAGTTCCAGAGCATGTAAAAAAACTGCAGCAAGCCCTATTGTACCTGCTTTGGAACGCATGCAAACGCATAAAAAATGCATGCAAACACCATGGAATGCACTGAAAGCCCATTTTAAACAAAAAGAAAATTATAAAAAATATATTTTTGCAGAAACGGCCCTGAATGCGTCTAAAACCCTGCAAAAAAACGCGGCAAAACACACTGCACTGCGTGTGCAGAAACTCAAGCAGATCTAGTCTGCATTTGGTGTGAACAAGCCCTTAGACAACTGAAAAAGAGTGAAACTGTTGCACATACCAGATTTTTTTTTTTAGTGCTGGCTTCAAAATTAAAGATAAAACTTGATGGCTATTTTCCGTTGCCCCATTTGCATTGGTCACCTCAATGCAAGTGGGAACCTAAAAATGATACAAATATCGGACACAATAAGGATAAAAAGTGTAGAAAACTATGCTGCGTAACTCCCTTCCTGGTAATCAAAAGTGACATTTACCTTGATGTTGCCATGGGTGAAGAATCTTCTTTGCGTGTTTAGGGTCTACAGGTCCCAGCTACAAGTCTCATTATTTGCTTGATGACCTGGATCCAGCGAGGCCAGAGTGGACTACATGATAAACATCTGCCCATGAAGCATATGTCAAGAAAAAAAAAACACCAATCAATAACACTTAATGCATTCCTACAAAACTACAAGTTCTACCAAATCTTCAGTAGAATCATTTGATGACCTGGATTCAGTAGGGCCATAGATATCTACATCATAAACATCCCTCCATAAAGCACATTGCAAGAAAAACAAAAAACACTAATTTCTAAACTACAAGTTCTTCCAAATCTTCAGTAGAATCATTTGATGACCTGGATCCAGTAGGTCCACAGATATCTACATCAACATCCCTTCATAAAGCACATTGCAAGGGGGGGGGGGAACTAATTTCTAAAATACAAGTTCTACCAAATCTACAGATCCCAGCTACAAGTATTATCTCTATGCTTGAGGACATGGATCCAGCGGGGCAACAGAGGGCTGTATGATAAACATCTGTCCAAAAATAAAACCTTGCATAACACTCAATGCATTCATAAACTACAAGCGCTACCAAATCCACTGTAAGCATCATCTCTTTACTTAAAGTGACATTAAACCCTCAGATTTTTTAACATAAAACAATACTGTAATGTGTGCCTTACTGTAATCCATGGTTGTTTCCCTTCTCTTTGCTGCTCTTCCTTTTAAATTGGTATCTGTTCTCATGCTCTGCAGAACTTCTGTTTTGCAGCAGACTGCCTTGTCTCTGGAATGGCTACATGGTGTCTGTGTGTAGGTTTGCAACCTGAGCCAGCACTACAGGAAGAGGCAGTCTGCTGCAAATGTAAGTTCTCCCCAAGCATGAGAAGACATGAGGATTTAAAAAGGAAGAGCAGCAAAGAGAAGGGAAACAACCATGGATTACAGTAAGGCACACATTACAGTATTGTTTTATGTTAAAAAATCTGAGGGTTTAATGTCACTTTAACTACCTCCGGGCCGGCCGTAGTAAAAAAACGGCCGGCCAGGAGCTCTCTCGATCTGAGCGGGCGTCTCTAGACGTCCCCTCAGACACACCGCCTTGCGCGTGCCGTCAGGTGCGAGCGGGAAATGGCCGGTATTTAAAAACGGGCAGCGATGCCCGTTAATATACATGCGATCCGCCGCCGCGTTAAAATTTTAAGTTACACATAAAAAATAATGAAAGAAAAAATTTTTTTTTAACGTACCCACCCATACATACACGCATGCAAACATGCGTCGGGGGCGTGCAAATTCAGTCAAAGTATCGCAGCGCTGAATACCGAAAAATGGCCTGGCCAGGAAGGGGGTCTAAACACCTGGTCTTGAAGTGGTTAATGACCCAGATCCAGAGATATCTGTCCATGAAGCACACAGCAAAGAGGAGAGAAAAAAAGCTCATCAATGCAATGCTCAATTACAAGTTCCATCAAATCAACAGGCACCAGCTACAAGTATCAACTCTCTGCTTGATGACCCAGATCCTGCAAGTCCACAGATTTCTAAATATTTGTTCATGTAGCATATATCAAGGGGGAGGGGGGGGAATACACTCATTAATAACACCTGATGGATACTTAAAATAGAAGTTCTACCAAATCTGTAGGTCCTGGCTACAAGAATCTCTTTACTTGATGTTCAAGATCCAGCAGGACCACATGACAGACTACTGTCATCAGAAACACTTAATGGATCCTAAACTACAGTTTCTTCCACATCTACGGGTCCTGGCTACAAGTATCAACTCTTTGCTTGATGACCTGGATCCAGCAGGGCCACAGAGGTTTACATGATAAACATCTGTTCAACAAATCAACAGCAAAAAAAAAAAAAAAACACTCATGGATAACACTTAACGGATCCTTAAGCTACAAGCTCTACCAAGCCTAAGATTCAAGTGCATGTGCTTCGGTAGAACAGTATTTATTTTCACGTTCCCATCTCACTGCTGACATGGCAAGGAAAAAATATGCAGATAGGATAACTGTGTCTATAGAATATTTACAAGGATTTGCCAACACAGCTGCTGTGAATGGTGCTTCTACCTTCTGCTGCTCTCCAAGCTGGAGAAGGCTTGGTGGCCCCTGGCGAGCTAAGGGATGTGATCCGTACATATAAGAGATCCCATTTTGGCTGTGTGCATCTATACATACATATCAGTTGCAGTGACATCAGACACTGCTGTATAGGATGCTGCGTACGTGCACTGACACATGATGAAAGCACAAGCCTGCCTGACGATTCTCACCCTGTATCCACGCATCCATACATGTCTGCTCCTGTCATTAGCAGCATTGCGGCCGCCGCGGCCCCTTCCCCGGCGGCCCTCCCCTCTCACCCACAGCCGTCATGTAGCCGCTTCCACCCCGGTCACATTCACATCGCAGCCCCGGGCAGCGCAGGCCTCCCCGTCGAGGTCAGAGGTCACAGACGGAGGATCAACGACAGAGGCTCGGGATAGAGCGGCTCCACCTGGAGGACCAGCCGGCAGAGGCTGCAGTGATGTCAGTTTCCCGGTGCTCACACCTCCGCTCTGACGTCACGAAGATTCTGGATGCTAATTCATGCATGGCTAGATGTATGGGCGCAGGTCATTGTATATACAATTATATGACGGCCCAATAAAACACGTAGCCATTGGTTGCCATGAGAAATCGACAGCTGTAAGAAATGGCCTTGGGGGTGATGGCTTGGTGGAGATCCTCCACATCTTCTGGAAGTCATCATTGTAATTTTTATTATTAAACATCACCTAGGAAGGGTGCTGTAACTAGTAACTGGAAATGATCTTGGGTCCCTATTATTTCGTAGAACGATGATGTTTAATAGTCCACTGCCAAGGCAGGGGATTCCCTGACAACTGGGTTGCCAAGGGGAGGCTGTGTATACAGTTCATGTACAGTCTAAAAGTTAAAAAAAAAACTTATTTTTAAATATCAAGGATAACAAACACAATGGTGTGAATGTAATAAAACTAGAGCCAACAGAATCTGGAACAGCTGTACACAGTAACCAATCAGCTTCTAGCTTTCAATATCAAGTTTTAACGGAACAAGCTGAAGCTGGAAGCTGATTGGTTACCAGTTTTAGTGACTTCCCCCCAGAAGTGGTTGCCGCTTCGGCTTGTTCTGTAAGGCCTGATTCACACCTAGGTGACAGCGTATTTGCACATAGAAATGTGCTTTTTTTTTCTGCACGTTTTTCCATTATGAGCAGATTGTGACACATCAATGTAAATGGAAAAAATGCGTGCAAACGCGCATAAAAACTGATTGCACCGCATGTTTCCTATTGACTCTATGGGGAGCTTGTGTACTTTTTTATAGGCATTTTGCATATTGCAACAAAATGCTCAGGTGTGAACAGCGGCCACAAGAATGAATGGGATTTTTTTTGGGGGGGGGGGGCTTTTTGTTGCACTGAATCAGCTGTGACAATACGCTCAGTGTGAACCAGGCCCTGGGGCAGGTTCACACCATTTTCCAGACCAGATCTGATCCAGAAAATGGTGTGAGCCTGCCTACAGTTCCAGTGCATTTCAGACCAGACAAAATGAGCCATGCAGTATTTTTCTGGTCTGGTCTGGAACAAACTGGACTGCGCTGATGTGAACAGAGGCCAGGAATATCATAGGGATACAATAGGATGCATTTTGGGTCCGGAAACAATCTGGTCTGGTCTGGAGATGATCTGGATGTGGTGTGAATGGGCCCTTAAAGGGGTTTTAAACCCTCCGGGTTTTTTTGCCTATATCTACTGCTAGCAAGCAGTAGATATAGACAAGAAGTTTAAAAAAAAATAAAACCAATTTAACTAGGTTTAAACTTACCTTGTTATCGCTGCACGCTCCCGCGCCGAGAATCAGGAACTGCTCGTACGGCCGCAAAGGATCTTGGGGCGGGGCATGCGCAGTTCCGATTCTTGGCCGGGAGACAAGCAGAGACGCAAGGTAAGTCTATGGACGCTTGCACTAGCATGCAGACACCGCTGGATCGGAGGGACAGAGCAGTCAGCGCTGGATCGGAGAGCCGCCGCACCGCTGGAGGGACAGATGAAAACATCAGGAAGGAAGAAGAAGATCGGAATAAGAGACATCATTTAAGGTAAGTGCTAACATTAACATGGAGGGGGGGGACATTTTTTTGACTTTAATGTCACTTTAAGCTTTGAAAATGAAAGCTGATTGGTTACTCTGCACAGCTGTTCCAGATTCTGACTGTTCCAGTTTTAGTAAATTCCCCCCAGAATCTGAAGCCGATGTGCAGAGTAACCAATCAGCTTCTAGCTTCAGATTGTTCTGCTAAGCTTTGAAAATGAAATCTAGAAGCTGATTGGTTACTCTGCACAGCTCTTCCAGATTCTGACTGTTCCAGTTTTAGTAAATTCCCCCCAGAATCCAAAGCCGATGTGCAGAGTAACAAATCAGCTTCCAGCTTCAGATTGTTCTGCTAAGCTTTGAAAATGAAATCTAGAAGCTGATTCATTATTATGCACTGCAGCTCCAGATTTTGTCTGTTCCAATCTTAGTAAACTCCACTCAATGGATTGTTTGGTTTACACAGAAAACAATAGCACTTGTTATTATATTTGTTTACATTGCAGTGATATTTTACCTGTGCTGTTTACAAATACACTGGAATAGAACTGGCAACAGGTTCTAGAGCCCAACGCCCTGCTGCATTTTTGTTTTGGAGTCTTTCAGGACTAGTGTTATATTATTAAATATATACATATGTTATATATTTCCATGTGATTGCCATGTATTCCCAATAACTTGCATTTTTACCGCATTTTTCTTGCATTATGCATTGCATATTGCATTACGCATTTTTTTATTGCACAATGAAGGTGAAATAAAGTATAGGTTGCTATAGCATGGTGCCTTGTTGTTATGTGCTAAAATGCATTTTTCATGCCCTCCCGTCGGAGTCTATAGATCAGCCGTCACTAAATGGCGGACTGGTCCAGATACGACCGCGTGGCGGTTCTTTCCAGACCACAATTGCTGACCTTCACTGGGTCATGGCAGCCTGACAGTGGATACACCAGTCTCCGAGGCCGATGCATCCACTGCCAGCCATAACCCAGCACAGGCCCCCTGCTCCACTTCAGTCATTGGTTGCCAAGTCCACTAGCAACCAATGACATCAGGCAGGGCTGTCCTATAGGTGCGTACAGATAGCCCTGCTGTACCAGGCCTGGTCCCCCCCACCTGCCCCTTTATGATAGCCAAAGTTAAGTGAATTTTTTTTTCATAAAGTGATAAGTAAAGAATAATTTTAAAAAATTAAAAGCAACCGTGCCACCCCTGCCATCTGATTTGAATGAACACATGTGTGTGCAAGGCATGCAGAGTGAGTTCTAATAACAAAGAAAAGAAAAACAAAACACACACCAGCAGCTGTACGTTCGAAATGCATCCCAAATGGCGGACCGCCGTGCGGACACGGTCTGAGTGACCATTCTGTTCCGGACCGTGTTTCGGACCCCAGCTCGATGAAAATTGTATTCACTGGGCCTCTTTAGATCTACCAAAACTGCAATAGGTCCTACCTAATCTATCCAATCAGTCAGGTTCTTGCACTATATGGTTGTTGGTAGATCTAAAAGTGATTGTCCAATCAGATTGTAACATGTGGTACCCTTATGCAGCTAAAACCCCCCTATGTTGCACCAGAAGAAGCACCTGCAACATTTTCCAAGTCGCACTGAAGCACAACGCATAGGTGTGAATGGGTCCCTTAGAGAACAATGAGATTCCCTTTGTCATGCATTGCCACGCAACAGCTGAAGTGCTATAAATCCCACAGGTGTACACAGGAGGTGAGACTGGATTCACACTTTCTTTTTGCATTTTTATGCGCTTTTTTTTTGCATTAACAATCATGCCGTTTCATGCATTGCCATTGTCATCAGTCAGCTTTATAACATGCGTCCATGCATCAGAAAACAGACAAAGCATAGTTGACAATTGTCCCGGTTCCTAAGGGACATTGCTGGGACATGAGACACTGTCCTTTAGTGCCGGCTTTCCGCAGGCTGTCCAGGATCCAGGACACTATGCAGAGTGGTAGTGGGGTGTCGGATGCTGAAACAGTTTCTGCCTTCCAGCACTGTAACTATACGGCATTAACTGTTAGGAAGAATTATCTCCTGCCCAGCAGTCACAGTGTAGTTCCAGCTTCAGAAAAGAGGCAGAGAAACAGTGCAGGAGCGGATTAGAAGGTAAGTGACCACTGTACACCAATGCTTATTCTTGGTCCCACTGACAAAATGGATATGGGTATTATGTGTCTGGGGTCACACCTTCATGCTGAGGAAGGCTTCTGAGGGTTTAACAAGCTTCTTACTCCAGACTTTGCTGAGAAACAAGTTCTCTTAATAATGATAATACTGTCAAGAGTTGGTCCAAAGAGGTGTTGTCCCTCGAAGACCATGCAGGTCAGGCACTCTTTAGATGCCCGTGTTGGTTTTATGTTTCATGCAGTGCACGTTATCCCTTGTCTGAAACGGACAGCCTTACAGGATTGGAAGAAGTATTTCTGGGTCAGAGGGGGGACTCTACTTGGTGCTGGTCTGTGTCTTTTCTTTGAATTTGTTGTACTCTATAGATGCAGGGTCTGCAGACCAGCACTTTAACTTAAGCGCTCTACGCATGTGTATTGACAAAGACCAATACAGGAAACAATCCATCCACATGGCTTTAGCCATCTTCTTCACACACTCTATCACTAAAGAGCTTTAGCGAAAAGATGTGTTTTAAGGGATTTTTGACTACTGGTTGCCATGGTTTGACTAATTAAAGTTACAGCCAGAATAGCCACAATGGCAGGACCCACCAGTGAGAACTGAGTTTGAAAGAGGGTTTCCAACCACTGATCAGTGGGATCCTTAAATGCAATAACACCCTCCACTTCCCTAGTGGTTTCCCTGTTAAGAAGGGCCACAGATAGATCAACAGAGGGAGTAGATCACTGACAAAATCCTTTCCAAAGGGAAACAAGTCCAGTAAGCATTTGGGGGGTATCGGTGGCATGTTGGGGTATTTCCAATCCCCACAGATGAATTCCTCAAAAGGCGGGTGAATTGGGAAGGTCCTTGCAGCTGTGAGGGCACTGAAAGACCTGAGAATGGGGATAGAAGGCTGATCCTCCCATTTTAGAGTAGTATACACCGTATTAATAATAAGAGCCAAAATGGTCTCTTTTTACTCTAGTGTAGTAGCAGAAGACTGATACTTCTCAAGTATAATCTCATCAGGACAAGATTTAAGCGACTCAGAATCGGATATAGCCACTGTGACCAATGGTTCAGAAGCCACTAAGGCCATGGGAAGATTATAGCCTCAAGCCTCATGTGAAAGAGGCCTTAAACTTCAGGGCGGGGGATAACAGGATTCCAGATTGCAGATGTCAGCACCTTCAGAAGTCACTGAAAAAAACATCCACGGAACTGTTAGTGGAATGTGAGCTGGGGTCACCCGTTGCAGCAGGACTGACCCCTCTGTGTCTAGAAACAGACATGTTGTGACTGCGTAGCGGTAAGACAACTTACACTCAAGGTACGAGACGAGGCTTCAGGTACTTATGAAACCTAGACAGCTGGTAGCAGCAGGACAGAGAGAGTGGGAAAAAGAGCACGGTGCGCACATGCAGGACGCTTCACCCAGTAGATGAGCCATTAGTCCCTCAGTGTTAAACCCTTCAAACGCAGTGCGCCTCTTCATATGGCAGTTGTATGGTTAATGTCATTTCATTGTTATTGCTGTGTATTGCCATAGTTAAAGGAAAGTTATGGGGAGAGTGAAATACACTCATCCCCATAATTAGAGCCGACACGTGACACTGAAGCTGTCACAGGTCGCTCTACTGATCGGTAACTGAGCAATCACATACCGCTGATCACTAAGTTCCCGATCTTCTCCCTGCAGAGAGCAGTGACTGTCAGTCACCGGTCCAAGCAGGGATTCCCTGCGCTGATAGGAGGAACGGACAGGGAGGGGTCAATCAGGCAGTGGGGTGGATCCCGACAATATTGTCAGGGTCGGTCCTGGCTGCAGCACAGCTCTGTGCTGTCATCATATAATGGGCAATAGCCTGCTAAATGCTGAATTTTGGATCACAGGAGAACATTAGTAGATGTCCTCCCGTGACCCTAAAGAGAACTATGGCAAAAAAAGATTGGGCCATAGTTCTCTTTTAATGTTTGGTGTGCTGCCATCTTGTGGTTACTCCCTATTTATTACACCTATTTCCCCTGTGTTCCTCCCTTTGTATGATGTAACACCTCCATTTCAACAATTGGAGTCAGAAGAGAACACCTGTTAAGGTGACAATGACACCTGTATAAGGGAAAAACTCACCTCACTTTGAGATTTCCGTTTATTTTCCACTGCATCCCGGGCATAGGAAATAAAGGGAAATCTCCCTAGCAGGGGACAGGTACAGTAGTAATGAACTTTGAACCCAGTTTGCCTGTGTTCACCGAAGTCCATTTAAAACTGTGACTGACACCCCCCAGCCCAATAAGTAGTAGCACTTGCGGCAGGGGTATTCCCCACCCCCTTTGAATGCGCCAGCCGCAACTGATTGGGGCGAGACGGGGAGGCACAGTTTAGAGCAGGTTTCTGCAAAATCAGGTGAACTGCACCAAGCACAAGTTCATCGCTAGTCACAGATAGCAAAAAAAAACAAACCTGACAGGGTATTTAACCCTTCCCTATTCTATCCACTGGCAGAAAGAAATTAGCTATACACATACAGGACACATTAAGCAATTGTTTACAATTAATGCAGTGACCCATAATTCAAAGGAGGATAACTAGTGACCTGTTATTACAGAATCAGAGGGGTCATTGCACTGTAGTAATGTGAATGTTCTGCTCTGTTGAACTGAGTACAACAGGATAAACTGTAGAGAGTACAAATACTTAACTAATCTTAACTAGAGCTAATAGGAACCGACAGGCTCACACGTTAATATAAACCAAAGACAAACTTGCATAAAGTAGTAACTGCTCACCTTCTGGAAGGGAAATCACTACTGCAATAAAGGATAGTTCAGTCTTGTTTTCAGTAGATTAAACACTGTATGTAAAAAATACATGTCTGTTTTTTAAATGTAGTAATATATACTTAGGGGGCGGAAACAGTGTATGCAAATGTAAGCAAAATATACTATCTTTGCAGCATGTTTTTTTCTTTGGAAAAGTGGATTGAAACATTTTGACCGAATACTCTTTGTTCTAAATTATTCATGCAGAAATGAAGCTGGCCGCAAGTTATAATCTGGGCAAACTCCTTTAGATTTCCTGACAGCTATTTAGTGTGAGGGGCTAGCTAAACAATCCATTCAATTTATATCCAACAAGGAATGACCTTGTACTAGTCTGTAAATCTTAGGCCCAATTTGTACTAACCTGCACACAATTGTCTGCAGGTAATTGCAGCATATATGATTATATGCAAATGTCTGCCGGCGCAATCAGTTGCCATTGCTTTGTACAGCACTTCCTACCCACAGCTGTTCGCATAAGTCTCAAGGAGCAATTCCAATGGGCCCCACACACTAAAATGATGCATTCACCACCACACCCCCTCCTGCCCCAGAACGCAGGGAGGCTTGCTCTATACGATCCAGTGCATTCCAGCCACTAAATGTGCGGAACACACTGGAGAGCGTGTGAACCGGTCCTAAAGGAGAATGTACAATCAGACTGTGGACAGTTTATGCCCAGTGGACTTGGCACCTGCCCACACTGCCAAAAGCACTAAAACCTGGTTCAATGACTGTGACTTCTCTTTCTCATCAGAAGCTCCCCTCACACCAGGAGCCCCCTTTTCACATCAGAAGCCACTCTGCCATATCAGGGTTCCCTTTTTCACATTAGAGTTTGCCTTCATTTCATGAGCCCCCTTCATATCAGATGCCTCCTTCATATCATAGTGCTCTGCGTTCCCCCATTCACATCAAAGTCCTACCATCACATCAGGAGCCTCCTTCATATCAGAGTCCTACAATCACATCATTAGCCTCCTTCACATCAGAGTCTTCAGTTCCCCTTTCACATCAGGAGCCCCTATCACATCAGAAGCCCCTATCACATCAGAAGCCCCCTTCATATCACAGTCCTCAGTCCCCCCTTCACATTAGAGTCTTACCATCACATCAGAAGCCACAGATGTGGCGGAATGGCAGAGGGTGGGAGGTGGATCAGTCCTGGATGGAGGCAAACTTCTGTCCTCTTCTGAATGAATCCCAACCTCCTTGGATTAGTGTAATTTGTCTTCATGGTGCTGGAAAGACAAGACACTGTGCAAAAAGTTAACAAAGTTCCCCTGAGGAAGCTAAAAGGCACCCCAAGGTTCCGAGGTACCCTGGTTTAGAAAGGCCACTCCAAATACTCGTGGATGGAATAACAAAGGCATGGCCAAAAAATGCACCAGTTTCTATATGCCTGCTTCCATGAGTGCTTCCTGTGACAAATTAATAAAAGTCCATTGAGAGATCCCACCGCACCAAGATACCCCAAACTTTAAGGGGGGTGCTGTAGTGGCCGCAGTTAGCCCAGCCAAGTATTCAACTTATAAGACAAATGGTCACCAGCACTCCAAATGTTTCTTCGGAACCAAATCCTTTTATTAGGTGTAACAGGTCATATCACTATGTCAAACAATGTTTTGGAACCAGTCCGGTCCCTTCATCAGGCAAACAAATTGTGGACCTCATTAATGATTTTGAAAAGTGCAATTAGGTCCCTTCTTAAGCGCCTCTTTTCTAAGCAGAACACCTCTATCCTGACATTCTGTGTCACCCATTGCTATTACCAATCAGACCCTTTATTGTGTGTGTCCAGCACATTCTGCAAAAGGTTCATCCTCGTCCTCATTTTGCACCTGTCAGTAATTTTCCTTGAAAATGTGTCCTGCTATATGTCACCACATATACAGGGGTGACCTGTGTTATACCACACCAGATCAACTTAGGTCACCACTAGGACACATAAAAAAAAAAAAAAAATTCTGTTTGCTCTGTTCACACCTCAATGCGGGCATGATAGGTGGTGGACTGCACCGTGGAAAAAGGCTGCATTTTTTTGGAAGGATACTGGATGCACACCACGCTCCTGAGCGGGGTCCTGAATAAAGTGTACACATTTTACACTACCAAAAAAGTTAACAAAAATTGTAAAAATGTAAACGGTGACAGCTCCTCACTGCTGGAGCTGCCGCAATGCACTTGCTAAGGGGTAGGCAACTCTGGCTCTCCAGCTGTGCTTTAACTACAAATTCTTACATGCTTCTGCCTCTGGGAGTCATGCCTGTAAGGACTCATTCACGCGAATAAGGGCCCTTTCACACTAGCCTGTCTGCTAAAATGATACGTTTTAGTGGCTAGTGCAGGGGTGGGCAACTCCAGCCCTCCAGCTGTTGCGGAACTACACGTCCCATGAGGCATTGCAAGACTGACAGTTAGAGTTCTGAGACCAACTTGCTTATTGTCATTTTGCCGCCCGACATGCTCCTGCCCATGCTGCCACTGGTTGGAGTTGCAGCTGGGGAAGTGTATATTTAACATGTTTCTTCCACATGTTGTGCGATGCTTTGCATTGTTTACATATGAGTGCTTACACATATGATCAGTCATAATGTATATGTTGTTTTGTAAACTTTATTAAAAATGTATTGAAAGAAAATCAGTCTTGCAAAATGTCCTATGAAGTATGCCTAAGTCATTGGTCTAATGAAAACTAAAGCTACTTTACTAATACAGTTATGGAAGCAGCGCATGAAGACTCGCGTGTTTGGAAATAACCACGACCTGTGACGCAGTGTCTCAGACTGTTTTTGTTTCATGTTACTATTTTCATTTTTTTGCATTGTTGTTTAAATACGGCAGGAATTGCGTAGATCTGCGGTATTCATAAACAGTAACAAAATTTGAAAAAAAAACTATAAATAGTTAGTGGTTTACAGAAGAACACTTCAGGTATTTACAGATGGGACATGGGTGTCACGCACAAATTGTAGAACAGACAAAGCCTTGGAAAGTGAGACAGGATAGCACCATAGAGGAAAGCAAGTGACTGAAGCCTAGCACAGGAGGCCTCCGGCGTGCAGCTCCTATTGGCTGCTGGGAAGTACAGAACCCAAAAGGGAGGGCCATGGGAGGTAAAGCCAAGTTCCTGCTCTCATCCAGATCCTGTTTTTTTTAGCTTTCTACGCTCCAGCTTGTGAAAGTGACCAGACAGCACTTCTACTCGCCTGTGTCAGCTCTTATTTCCAGTTTAACAAGCAGGTCAGTAACTCTTATTAAGTCATTATTATGTGGATGAGCAGCAGAACACTAAAGTTATATCACTGACAATGCTATCGACTGGAGGAATGGCAGAAGCAGGAAGTGTTATGTATTTCAGCTGCAAGAACATTCTATCTACAGGTATCACTGTGCTGAATTTGTCAGCAGTTCAACTGGAAATACAGGCAGCTAAACAATGTAGACTTTCAGTGGTGTTTGTCAAAGTGTGATAATTTATTACTTGCTGATGTTTAAATATAGTATACACTTTGTTGGGTCACCATTAGTGATTTTAATGTAGTAAACTAAAATCTTTTTAGCTGCTGTAGGCTGTTGCACTGTGAATGTAGTCCTGTATACTGCACTATTATACAATAATCCCCATCATGGTTTTAATGTCATGAGACTCAATTTACAAAACCTTAACACAAGGAGAAGTCTGTAATTTAGTACCAACTGTATTTCAAGTCTTATTGGACTTAGACTTAGCTGAAAAGAACTCCCTTTTTTGGAGTGAACCCTGCTCCTGGGGTGTTAGCTTTGCTTACCGGGCCTATAGAGAAAATAAAGTAACATGTTACTATGTTATAAACAAAAGTTAACATTAGGGCTCCATTCACACCTGAGCGTATGCAATTCAGCACATTTTTTGTGCGGCTTTCCATACGGATGGACAAAAACGTGCAACATTTAATGGCCCTGCGTTCGCCGCTATAACCGCAATCAGAACGCACGGCAACCGCCCAGAAAATCACGCAGGTACCTTTTCTTGTGTTGTGCATTTTTTCCCGGCTGTACGAACGCGCAGGTGTGAAGGTTTCACATTGGAATGCATTGACTTTTGTGTTTTGTGCGTTTCCACTCATATCTATATGCGCAGAAAAGCGCATAAAAAATGCTCGGGCGTGAGCCAGGACTAAAGTGTCACTGAACTCATGTGTTAAATATTAAAAATGCATTAAAGTACCCTAACTGTTAACAAAAATGTATCTTATTTGTATATCACTCAGCTGTAGATCCTCAAATCATCTCTGAATTCATGCTGACACTGTCCTTCCTTCTGGAAGGTGGCTACTTTTGTTACCCATGGTCCCTGTGTGTGTTGTAAAGTAGCCACCACTCCAAGCTTACTCCCATGATGGACTACAATCTCACATTTAGTTTACTCATTTGTATTAAAGTCATAGTCTATCACAGGAGCCAGTTTGGAGCAATAGCTACTTTACAACACACACAGGGACCATGGGGAACAAAAGTAGCCACCCTCCAGAAGGAAGGACAGTGTCAGCACCAATTCAGAGATGATTTGAGGATCTACAGCTGAGTGATACACAAATAAGATACATTTTTGTTAATAGTTAGGGTACTTGAATGTGTTTTTAATATTTAAGTCCTGGTTCACACCTAGGCGTATTGCATATGCGCGTCTGTCGCGCGGTTTTTTTACCGTGATTCGCGGTAAAAAAATCGCGTGACACACGCGCGTTTCCGAGGGCTACTTGGCTGTATCCCAATGGAAACGCGCTACAAAACGGCCCAAAGTAGTACATGTACCTTTTCAGGCGTGGGCCGTTTTGTAGCGCGTTAGGGACGGGCGGAAATACGCCAAGGTGGGAACGAGACCATTGACTACAATGGGATTTATATTTTTGAGCGTTTTGTAGAGCGTTCGTCGAGCGTCGAACGCGCTACAAAACGTTCAGGTGTGAACGAGGCCTAACACATGAGTTCAGTGTCACTTTAATGTTAATCTTAATTGTTTACAACATAGTAAAATGCTACTTTAGTTTCTCTATAGGCTCAGTAAACAAAGCTTTTAGTGAGTTATTTTCATCTAAGTCCAATAAGACATGAATACAGTTGGTACTAAATTAGAGACTTGTACTTGTGTTTTGTAAACTAACTGGGTTATTCACAAAAGGGTGAAGAGTTTGGAGAAGTGAACAATCTAGGACAAAATAGCTGATCTGGAAAAACTCTCCAATTCAGCTCACTTTCCAGTTAATCTATGTTGTCCTAGATTGTTCACTTCTCCTGCCTTCTCCAAACTCTTCACCCTTTTGTGAATAACCCTGTGAGTCTTATGACCTTCAAATTCTGACCACACTTTACTGAAGATGTAACTGTTTAGGTGTCATTTAATTAACATTTCATTTAAAGATACGATTGTGACTTTCAGGTAGAAATGAAGAGAACTTTGGCCACAAAAGGCTGTACAGCTAGCCATACATTCCTGCTGAATCGGCCAAAGTATGAGCTGTGGGTGGCCCTGTTGGCACCACCCTGCTTGACAAAAGTGGATTTAAAAATCAACGGAGCTGGGTAGAATATTATCAGCCAAACAGTGACTGCTTTCTATCAGATGCAGGTCCTATTGGGGTACAATAGCTGGCAGTGCTGTTTAGGAGGGATGGAATGGAGGGATAGACTGGTTTTCTCTAGTTCAGCCCCAGCCAGTATATGGCTAACATCCTGAGTATTTGTCACAGCTAGGTGGCTGTTTACAAGTGCTTCATTGCATTTTGCTTATGTAATCATCATTATGTCAATAAAGCATGATGCGTGTTTCTATTTCCAGGAAAATGTGTTGATTTATTTATATAACAATCATAATATCAGCATATTTCTTAAGGGCAAAGCAGTGTTCTGTGCGATTAACACACGCTATAGTGCAACTCATCTACCGTGTGTTATATGTGTGGGAGGTGCATTGTGCATTTTTTGAAATGACAATGCACTCGACCATGCTGCAACATGTGGTACCCCATTGTGGTGCTTTGCTGTCTGACAAAAAAATTAGTGCATGCACTACTTTTTTTTAGCTATACTACACAGTATTACAGTACCATGTATCAATGCATTTGGGCTGGAGGTGCATTTGGGGTGCCATTCAAATGAATAGCAATACAATGCACCTCCCGCGCCATAACGTATGGTAAATGCATTGCGCGTTAGCATGCATTCATTGCAAAGAACCATGCAATGAATGTGCCACACTGGTGTGAATCCGCCTTTAAGTTGTGGGCATGTTCCTTTTTTATATTTAAAATCACTGTACTAGTAGAAGCTTACTTTTGTGAATGTTAAATTAAACCTATCATGGCAAAAACTTGGATGCCGCCTTTGTTAACCTGTCCTTCTGGGAATGCTAGCTGTCTGGCTGCCATACTGAGTCTCTGGCTTAAATACTTTCAGTCATTGATCTGGAACAAGTATGCAGTATCTACTTTCCTGAACTGCATACTTGTTCTGGATGGGTGAATTACAGAGTATTGACCCCCCTCCCTCCCATTTCTCTCATGGCAGGTGTAATTACGTGTGTGTTTTAACCCCTTATACTAGGTACCTCATTTGCAATATGCTGATTTTAATGTGATTTCTAACAAGGTTTTAAACCAGAACTCCAGGGGAAATTATTTTTAACATTCGCTTTTTTGCTTGGGCTTAAATCTCGAGCTTACAGTAAGTGTTAACTATGTCATGTGCCTGAGCCATAATACTTACTGTAATTTTCCTTTCCTTGCACCTATATATGGCAGCACACATATGGTAGTGGCCCCGCTCCATCCCAACCCATTGAACCAGTTATATCTATGTAAGAAGTTTAATCCCAGCCCCTTAAAGTAACATTAAAGGATATCCCCCTACGCTGGTGTAAGGACTTACCTTAAATGATGCCTCTTGATCCGATCATCTTCTTCTTTCCAGTAGTTATCAGGAGTCCCTCCAGTGCTGGTGCTGGTCTCTGATCCAGCGCTGACTGCTGTGTCTTCTGTGTCCCACGGAGTCTGTGCGGGTGCATGCTGCCAGGCTGCCTGCATTGACTTACACTGTGTCTCCCCTCGTTTCCCGGTCGAAGATCTGTACTGCACATGCGCCCGTCTAATCATCCTTTGCAGCTGCCCAAGATTTTTCAGATCTTCGGACGGGAGCGTGCGGCAGAGACACAGGTAACTTTTAACCTTTTTTTGTAACTGTTTTTTTTTTTTTTTTAAATGTTTTTGTATATATCTACTGCTTGCTCAACACTGGCACTGATGCCCTGTTTTAGGTGGCTCCTTTCCCTTGCAGAAAATTATTTTTACTCTCTCTTTTATAGAGAACTTAAGCTGGGTCCACACGGAGAGATTCTGACAGACTCCTCCATCCATGGTAACATTGTGGATGAACAAATCTCCCACTGTGTACATTGTATTCTGACAGTAATGCATACTGTGTGCACCAGTTTTTTAAATTACACCACAGCACACAGTATTGCGGTACCGTGCTGCAGCCTGAACTGTTACATTGCAGGCAGGAGGTGCATTTGAGGTGCCATTCAAATGAATGGCAACGCAACACACCTCCCACTCTGTTAACGCATGGTAGGTGCATTGCACGGTGCGTTAATCGCCTGGGTGGCTACATTGCTCTTCCATAGAGTGGAACCACCCTAAAACAAGATGTGTGTTACTGGCCAGATCACCAGGGGAAAATAAAGGGGGAAAAAAGCCTAAAAGGACTAGAAAAGAGATGCAGCCATTACATCTAAGGATTGGTAAGCTGCAACATGTTACATTTTTGTTTTTGGGTTTAGATACCCTTTAAATGAGGATTTTACACTAACCCAGTGATTAGTAAGGAGGGGGAAACTATGCCCAGAGTTCTGGTGCTGTGACAAATCTAAAACACACACAGATCCAATACGTACTGTATCTTGATTTAGCAGTGCTATGGCTCTGTATCGGTTTTAGCTCTGCTGCGTTATGAGTTGGTTTTTTTCCGCTTGTGTAAATTGACAAGAGAGAATCTGTGAGGCACGCTGAGTCAGGAAGGGAGTGTGTGATGGACACCCAGCTGGAAAAAACGGAGGAGTGGAGGAGTAAAAGGTGTGGCATTACAGATCAAAGTAAACCAATGACACATTAGCAGGTAACAGTTTATGTTTGTTTTTATTGCATGTTTAGCAAATATTATATCAAGGAGTGCATAGCACAACTGTAAACAAGGAAGCTGTTTGATAGTAAAAGCAATATAAAATAAGTAGGGTGGTGCATGACAAATAAAATACTGTACTACTTTTCTTTGCGCTGCATTTTGTTCTGCAGGGAAATATGAACCCTAAAGAACTAACTTTTGTAGGAATCGTGAAAAAAATTTGAAACTAAAATATTTTTGCTGAATTTATGGTAATAAGATTGTAATACAGATTAACACAATATAAAGGAATATTAGAACAGTTCATACTGAAATGTGGCTGGACATTACATAAGATTGTGTGGCTTCAGTGTCTACTTTTGCCTGCTTGCAGCCCTCCCATTCAGTGAATGCTCTTTAGCATCTCCTCCAATGGCACCAGAACATCCAGACCAGAACATCCAGACTCCATCTTCAGCGCACAGTACTTCTTCATCTGACAGCGACTCAGGCTGTGCATCGGAAGACTATCTTGATATTAAGGTGAGCATATCCCCTACCACCCTAATTTAGCTGCAGATCTCCAGGCAGATACAGAAGTTGAAACTGTAATTCTGTATTTTCCGTGTTGACATCTTCAGTTGGATCCAACTAGGCCTCCTGTACAGGGCGAAGTTCAAATTAACTTTTTAGTGATACTGTAATTGGGTAATGTGGGGCTGTAACAAAAGAAACAGTCTGTCTGCATGCCAAGGGGCTGATGGATAAATCTTCTGCCCAGCGTAATGGTAAATGCCATTTACACTGCATTCCCGTGAACATAAGGAGTCGGTGAGCTTAGGAAATTCCTTTTTCTCTTCAGCTCCAACTACTGAGTGTTATGTCATGCGAATGGCATTCATCCAACTATACGCTGGGCAAGTGATAATACATCAACCCCCTAAATGTTATAACCAGCATTGCAATGTGATCAAATAAGTGACTATACAAAGGGATCCTAAACTTTAGTGCATATAAGAATATCTATTAAAAAAGACACATGCACATGAAACAAACAAAAATGAACCAGATAGAACAGGGGTGAGCAAACCCCGGCCCTCCAGCTGTTGTGGAACTACAAATCCCATGAGACATTGCAAGACTCCGACAGCCACAGGTATGACTCCAACAGGCAGATGCATGATAGGATTAGTGGTGCCACCGCAGCTGGAGGGTCGGATATATGTGTTTCTGTCACAGGCTGGAGGGCAGTAGTAGAAAATATAACTAAGCTAAAAGCCAACTATATAAAAAATTTTGTAGATCAAACTGAGCAGAGTCAGGTGGGAATGTAGAAAAGCAAATGCAGTAGTGAATGAGACAGGTGGGCCAGAACAGGTATAGGATGAAGACTGGCACACAGGCAAAATACTAAGGCCCCTCTCAGTTTTTCAAAGGGCATCTGTTTATTATTATTATTACATAGGATTTATATAGCGCCAACAGTTTGCGCAGCACTTTACAATATAAGGAAGACATTACAATCACAATACAATTCAAGACAAGATGTTTACATCCAAATATCCCCAACTCTGGCCAGGTCTGGAAAAACAAAGGGATCAGAGTTCCGTTTCACCGGAATCTGATCATGGCGCATCGGGGGTAATCTGATGTATACAGACACATGTCTGTTTACATCTGACTCCCCATAGACCAACATTTCAGTTGTTTCCTCCATCGCAAAATGGAGGAAAAAACTAAATGGACACGAATGTTACATCCGTTCCAATCAGCAGGGGATCCGTGCACGTATGAATTCATTGCAGTGAACCACTATGTGCATAAAAGAAAAACAAAACTATGTCTCCTGTGTTGGGGACTATTAAAATGAATAATTTACTGTAACACAGTGCACCACAACCCACTGAGGCACATGGCTTACCAAAACACTATCAATGGTGAGCTGGGGCTAAATAGTTCTCCAACTGCTAGCATTAGGTGGTGGCTAATTGTTAAAGCTCCACTCTGGGCAGCAGAAGAAATTTCCCTTGCACTGGGGCCTCCCTGTATTGCATAGGTTAAATAGTCATAAAGTTTATGGGTAAAGGAATAAGCTGTTATACTTACCTTAGTCCTTGCTCTGGGATGCTTCCACTGTGAGATGTAACCGGGCCTCTGAAACCACTCTCAGGCCCGGCGCTACCGCAAGGCAAGTCAGGGCAAAAAACAGGGCATTTTGACAAGTACTTGTCAAAATGCCCCGATGGTTGCGCTATGGTTTTGTTTTGTTTTTCACTTGCCTTCGGCGCGGGAGAGCAGCGGCGAGTCGGCGCTGGTCCGGTGGGAGGAGCTCAGGTGGGGTCCTAATTTAGCTGGCCGGCGACTGCCTGAGGTGCCGAGCGTGTCGGGATCCTCAGGCAGTCGTGTAGGCAAGAATCCTAGCACCGGCCCTGACCACTCTCTTCACCGGTCTTAGGCTTTCTGTCCACTAGCAGGTACCCTGGCTATCTTGCATATTCCTAACAGTTATTCTGCACAAGAACTTGCATTAAAGCTTGTACAATGTTGTTTTTGAATTATTTTGTTAAATGGTTATCAATCCATCCATTGTTGAAGTGGTTCTGCCTTTAAGAAGAGGCTGCATGAATATTATGTCAGCCACGTGACTGGTGGCTGGAGGTTTTAATACAACAGAAGGAAGAAACCCGACAAATAATGCAGTTTCATATACAATATGCATGTAGAGAGAGAAAAATCTCTTGGCTTCAGAACAAATGATTTTAGCATGCACAATTGTGGGTGACTTTGGTAGGGACATACAATGGATGTAAGTGGTTCTATATGTAAAGAATGGGTATAATTGCTGTATAATATGTATGTACTTAGTGAACAGTTTTATTTTTAATTATTTTCACATTCAGCTTGCTATGCCCTTTTATTCAGTGTCTCTTTTGTATTTTAAAGGCTCATCCCAGTACTGTTGAGTTCACTTTATCGAACAATGATGGACAAGAATTAAAGCTCATCCGAACACTACTTCAATTGCTTCCTCCACAAGACTGTGATGTAAGATCCTGCAATTGCATCTATATCACTCTTTGCAAAGAGAGGTCGTAGAAAAGCAGTAACATCTTCATTCTGAAAATGTGGCCTACCAAAATATGTTATTGCACCGAGTGTTAAAAAAATAAACTGCTTTTAATAATATACCTTTTTTTTAAAGAGATTAAACAGGATTGGTGTGTGTACAAAAGCTTTTTGGTAGAAAATGAAACCTGTATTAAAAGCTACAGGTACAGAGATTTTCTTCTTTTTACCTTTGTAGTCTGTTTTGACAGAAAGTGTTTTATTTGGTTGTCAATTTTAAACATTTTATATATTTTATTATATTTTAATTTTTTTAAAAGACATTACTTTTTTTTCTAACACTACTTTTCCATAATGAACGCAATATCAAAGCTTCATTTGCCTAAAAACAAAGAGTACGGAGTGCAATTGTACCACATAGATGGGAATTTTTTTTTACGAGTATGTATTTATTGAAAAGAATTTTAAACAATAGAATACAACCAAAAATAATCAGCAATGAAAAGAGGGGAAAAAAGGAAGGGATATTCCAATTATTCCAACATATTACTGTTCTGATACATGGGAATTTTAACATACCATTGCAGAATCGAAAAGCTAGTGCCCATGTCTTCAGTTCAGCAATCTAACGGCGGAGTTCATCCAAAAACAGAGCAGAGGAAGCCCTTTTATCCTAAGACTTGTATCTTATTTTCATCTCCTTAGCTGTAACAAGCTGGGAGTGACTACACACAGCAGCATAAATTCATACTCCTGCACATTTTGCTGGTGGTTAGAGGCACAGGAGCCTATAGTTTTGGAAGAAAGAGTTGTAGTTGATAGTTCTATGGTCATTTTTGATGAAAGGTGAAGGGTTTGCTTTATTTTTTACATAGCTAATCTCTATTGTCACCCTGCTATTTATAAAAGCATATTAATTTTAGCCTACTTGTTCTTGACTAGGAAAAGTTCTGCACGGGCTTGGGAGACGTAGAAAGGAGAGAGCTGAGAAATCTCAGTGCATACCGGAGACTTCATTCCATGAGACATGGAGTTACTGTGCCTGTCACTTCTGACACTCCTGACAGTTGCTGTATGGGGGTAAGTGAATAAATAAATATACTCTGGGGTACATATACAGTATATAATGCATATGGGTAAATCAGCAATGCCGCACAGTGTACTGTATATTTCCTCCTTTTAAGCAACAGAAGAGAATGGGTTGATCCTTTTCCCAACATACACATTTTGGTATAACAATTGGTTGCTACTGGCAACCTGGTACCTTTTTATTTTCATAGCTACACATAATCTGAATGATTGCTAAAAGGAACCTCTATGAGCTTTATTTCCCTGAGTTATATGGATCAGTAAAAAATGCGTCTCCTACAACCTTGCATTCTTACATAAGGGTTAGCATACACAATGCAGTCACTGCAGGCCTTTTTCTTTTCTGCATTTAGTGATTCATTAAATTCCATGACTAACACAGCTGCTGTTGAGCTAACTCCCACTGTCATGGAATCGTGTACAGCAAGAACACAATAAAGTATGATGTGCTGTGGAGGTAGTTTCCAAGGTCGCCACTCCAGATAATAGCTCTAGGTCATTATATTCCTACAATTCCGCTAAATGTGACTAATGAAACCATTATAAAGATCATACATGTTACTCAAGCCCACTGTATAGCTATTATGACTCCATATAACTTTGAAGTAAGTTCTCTGAGGAAACACACTTCTTCTTTAGGGATTATGGAATGCCATCCGTTGCTGTGAAAATGCAAACATTTTTGTTGGAGTTGCTGATATATAAGTTAAGACTTCCTGTGTAGCATGCTTCACTAAAAAGTGTAATGTTTGAATAAAACGTTCTCCAGATGTTCACAAAACTCTCAATCAATTATGTGTGTGTAGAAGTGTTTATATGGCCGGTGCTGGAGGTAGATTAGGACACACACATACACACACACATCTTGTAGGGAGGACAGGCTCAACTAACTGGTAGTGGAAGTGGTAAACCATGCATGGCAAAGGGACACCCAGGAACAGTCCGAGAAGGTTTGTCCTGCACCTTGGTAATCAGATCAACCAACTTTTTTTTTTAATAAACATTAAACTATTAGGTATCACAGACTAGCACACTTGCCAAACAATTCATAGCAATAAAGAAAAAATGGTCCTGTTCAAAAGTTTGCACACTCTTAGCCTTTTACCTTAATATTCCGTATTGCCCCCTTTAGCATCAAAGATAGCTTGTGTACCTTTGTGACATTTGTGCATGAGATCTCTTATTTTCTTATGCGGCAAAGCTGCCCAATCTTCTTGGGAAAAAGGTCCCCAGGTTCTGTAAGCTGTTTGGTTTTCTAGTATGATCTCAGTGATTCTGAGGATAGGAGATTGTGGTGTCCACTCCAGAACCTTTCTGCTGCAACCACTGAAGGGTCAGCTTTGCTTTATGCTTTGTATCATTGTCATGTTGGAAAGAACAAGCGCTTCCTATGAGCCTATGAGCTGATAAATGCAAATTTTCCTCCAATATTTTCTAATATGCTGCAATGACAACCGGACTAAATGACTGCAAAGCCCACCAGCAGTTTGGAGTCCCAGTAAGGACCAATATTCCACAAAGTGTGTCCCAAGTTTTGACTGTTGGGACTCAAGAGACCTTCTAAACCAGAAACAGATATGCTGTATTGCCTTGCCATCCATTTTGACAACATTTCCTGTGCTGCTGTAGCTCACTCACCCCCAAAACAGCAGAGATACACCTCTATGTTTCAGGGTAAGGATGGTATGCTTCTTTATAGTCCTCTCCTAACTAGCATTGTACCCGCCCTCTGCTGCAATTCCCCATCAGGTCCATCAGCGGGGGGCGGGTACAATGCTAGTTTACTATTGGCCATTTCAAATTTAAATAGCCAATAGTAATGTACAAATGCTTTTCAATGGGAAAATTTCTTTTTTTTTCTATTCTGACATTCGTGTCAGAGACCCCGGGAGAGGTTTTTTTTTCTTTTTTATTTTACAGCAGCAGAGCCGCCGGACAATAGGAAACTATTGGGCGGAGCTAGCTGTCACTGCTAGCTCCGCACAATCGTTTTCTATTTACTTTTTTAACTCTTTTTCTGTTCTGCTCGGTACCTCTGAGGGACCGAGCAGAACAGCTGAGCCGAATGCCGCTCAATGGCATTCGGCTATTCACTCACTGCTGTTTGGCATCTTTAAGAATAGGCGGAACAGCAGTGAGAAGCCTGCCGGAGGTTCGGCTCAGCCGATCCAGATGTTGGATCGGCTGAGTCGAACTCCTTCTGCACTTCTGAGCATGTTCGGCCGACCCGAAGCCACACGAAGCAAGCCGATGTGCGGCTGAAATCAGCCGTACCAGCCTGAAGTGAATAGCCGAACAGTGTTTGGCTCACTTCACTTCAGATCGGTCTTTCACTCGGCTGCCCTCGGCAGCTTAGTGAATAGACCCCATAGTGTTTTATGGTTGTGACCATAAAGTTTTAATTGTTGTCTCATTACTTCAAATGATTTTGTTACAAATGTTTTGAGATTACTCGGGTAATGTTTGTTGTATTGTAAGCAGGCTGTTTTGAGGCGTAGGTGTAGCAAATTTGGGTAACATTTTACAAATTCTGCCAGGGGTATATAAACTTATGAGCACAAATGTATGTGTGTGTACACCTCCTGTCCCATCGCACTCCTGACCGGACAAAAACCCAAATCCAACTGGGTGGGTGCAGTGGTGACAACGGATGCCTCCGTGAAATGTAGATAGATGAAAGTAGTCACTCGCACTCCATGATATTAAAGTCAATGCTGTTTATTGACTGAGATAACACACATCTCCTTAGCGACGTTTCGAGACCATGCGGTCCCATCCTCTGTTTGCCTGAGGACGGGACCGCACGGTCTCGAAATATCGCTAAGGAGATGTGTGTTATCTCAGTCAATAAACAGCATTGATTTTAATATCATGGAGTGCGAGTGACTACGTTCATCTGTATACGTATATACACATCTATTGGCTAGAAATACTGATGCTAGGAACCATGGAACATATTCTGCTGGTGTTGGTAGATAATAAATGGATATAATAAGTGTTTGCACAGGACTTTGTGATTTAGTTTTTCCCCGCTTTGTGTTCTACCACACATTACAGCCCCTGAAAACTTTCTGTCCTCAAAGTTCATTTTGATTAGAAGCACACAGTTAGAATGTTTTAATATTTATGTGTTTTAATATTCATGTGCCTTTTTTGTCTTTTCTAGTGTGGTGGAAAAATGTTGGTGGGCGACATTGCTGTACATGCAGAAAGGATTCAGGATGAAGGCTTTCAATGGCACCTTGGATGTTTTGTCTGTGAGACATGTCACTCGCCATTGTCACAGTTTATCTACTTTCTGCAGGACAGCAGAATTTACTGTGGACGTCATCATGCAGAACTTACGAGATCACGCTGTGCAGCTTGTGACCAGGTACCGTTATGTGTGGAATCTCCTTTTTTTTAGAGAAATATTTGTTTCAATAGATGAATAAACATAATATGTGTGTGTGTGTGTGTCTACTAATATATATGTGTATATATCTATATATATATACATACACACATTATATATATATATATCTATATATCTATATATATATATATATAGATATATAGATATATATATCTATATATATATAGTGGATTCAGAAAATATTCAGACCCCCTTCACTTTTTTCAATTTTGTTATGTTGCAGCCTGATACTACCTTGTCCCATCTCCACACAGGATCTGTGGAGCTCAGAGTGACCATCGGGTTCTTGGTCACCTCTCTTACTAAGGCTCTTCTCCCCCGATTGCTCAGTTTGGCCAGGCGACCAGCTCTTGGAAGAGTCCTGGTTGTGCCAAACTTCTTCCATTTGAGAATTATAGAGGCCACTGTTGTCTTGGGAACCTTCAGTGCAGCAGAAATTATTTTGTAGCTTTCCCTGCCTGTGCCTGGCAATAATCCGGTCTCTGAGCTCTGCAGACAGTTCCTTTGACCTCATGGCTTTTGCTCTGATACAGTATGCATTGTCAGCTGTGAGGCCTTCTATAGAGAGGTCTGTGCCTTTCTTAAGGTGCCCATACACCTTACGATTATCGGACAATTTTCGTATGCGATCGACTTTTCGTCCGATAATCGTATGTGTGCATTGCAGTGTCCGACCCACATTACTGTACAATCGTACGACTTTTGACGGTCAAGCATGTTTGAAAACTTTGCTAGATCGTACGATTTTCGTAAGGTTGCTGGCGTTTCCGTCCGTCAAAAGTCGTACGATTTACACTGCGCTTGCGCTAACGAAAATACGGCAAATCAATTACCGCATTTCGTGCAGGTGCTTTTCGTTAATTACGACTAAATTAATCTTGCGATCATTGGGGCAGGATGGGGCTGCCGTACGAAAGTCGTACGAATATTCGAACATCGGACGAAAAGTTTTGTCCGATAATCGTAAGGTGTATGGGCACCTTAAACCATGTCCAATCAATTTAATTTACCACAGGTGGACTCCAATCAAGGTGTAGAAACATCTCAGCAACCATCAAGAGAAATGGGTGGTACCCTAAGGCAGCTAAATTTCAAGTGTTGTTGCAAAGGGTCTGAATACTTATGCCAATGTGATATTTGATTTTTTTTTTTAAATAAATTCACAGACATTTCTAAAATACTTTAAGTTTTCACTTTGCCATTATGGGGTACTGAGTGTAGATTAATGAGAAACAAACAAAGAATTTAAACAATAGTATCGGCTGCAACATAACAAAACGGAAAAAAGTGAAGGGGGTAGGAATACTTTCTGAATGCACTGTTATTTTTATAGTGTATATACACCGATCAGCCATAACATTTTGACCACCTGCCTAATATTGAGTAGGTCCCCCTTTTACCGCCAAAACAGCCCTGACCCCACTAGACCGCTGAAGGTATACTGTGGTATCTGGCACAAAATCCGACAGTAACAGATCTCTTAAGTCCTGTAAGTTGCGAGGTGGGGCCTCCATGAAGCGAACTTGTTTATCCAGCACATCCCACAGATGCACCAGATTGAGATCTGGAGAATTTGGAGGCCAAGTTAACACCTCAAACTTGTTGTGCTCCTCAAACCATTCTTGAACCATTTTTGCAGTGTGGCAGGGCGCATTATCCTGCTGAAAAAGCCCACTGCCATCAGGGAATACAGATTCCATGAAGGGGTGTACTTGGTAAGCAACAATGTTCACTGTCACACTGTCTCTGCCAGTTTGTCTTTCTCCCATAGTGCATCCTGGTGCCATCTCTTCCCCAGGTAAGCGACACAGGCACCCACCATCCACATGATGTAAAAATGTGAAAGAAAGAGAACATGATTCTTCAGACTAGGCCACCCTCTTCCATTGCTCCGTGTCCAGCTCTGATGCTCATGTGCCCATTGTAGACGCTTTTGGCAATAGACATAGGTTGGCATGAGCGCCCTAACCGGTCTGCATATGCAACGCGGTCCCATATGCAACAAACTGCGATACACTATGTGTTCAGACACCTATTGGAACCAGCATTAACATTTTATGCAATTTGAGCTACAGAAGCTGTTATATTGGATCGGACTACACGATCCAGCCTTCGCTCCCCAGGTATATCAATGAGCCTTGGCCACCCATGACCTTGTCATCAGTTCACCAGTTTTCCTTCCTTGGACCACTTTGGTAGGTCCTGACCACTGCAGACTAGGAACATCCTATAAGACCTGCAGTTTTGGACTTGCTCTGAGCCAGTCGCCTGGTCATCACAATTTGGCCCTTGTCGAAGTTTCTCAAATCCTTATGCTTGCCCATTTTTTTCTGCTTCCAACAACTTCAGGTACAACATTTTCCGCTTGCTGTCTAATATATTGCATCCACTTCCAGATGCCATTGTAATGAGTTCATCAATGTTATTCACTCCACCTCTCCGTGGTCACAATGTTATGGCTCATTGGTATGTGTGTGTATAGAAAAATCTAAGCCTACTGAAAAAGCTCAGATTCACATGATCCAATACTATTTCATTGAGATTACTTTCAGCTGCAGCCAATGCGGTGCAGTGAGTTTAGTAAAATTTGCCACAATATCCTAAAGCAGCAGGCATGCCACAAAGCATAACTTTCTTTGGATCTCTAAAAAATATACAATGTTAAATCGTGATCCTTGCTTATGTGAATACATTTATTTTGATATCGTCATATCTGTTGCTTTTTATAACTGTTATTTCTGAATTTCTGTGGATGTAGTTGATTTTGACAGAGAGATGTACAGTAGCCGAAGGTCACTGCTGGCATGTGGAACACTTTTGTTGCTGGGAGTGCGAGGAGGTGCTTGGTGGGGGCCGATATGTAATGAAAGGTGGAAGACCGTTCTGCAATGGCTGCTTTCAGCGTCTTTATGCTGAGACTTGTGAGGCTTGTGGAGAACCTGTAGGTAAGGGTTTTTTTTATTAAAGGGTGCCATGATGGGCTTAATGACAACCTGAGGAATTGTCTCTTTCCTGGATCGTTCATCATTGAGACTCCATGACGATATCACTTCTCGGGAACCGGTTCTTTCTCCCCTTTCCTTTTTTTTCTTCTTTTCCTTTCTTCTTTCCTCTTCCTGTTTTTCTCTCTTTTCCTCTCCCCTCTTTATCTTTCAATTCTATTACATTGACTTATTTTCTTCAAGACCCGGGATTTTGTTTGCTCTTCATGTTTTTGGAGAAGATCATTATGCAATTTATATTTGACTTTTATGATCTCTGTCCTGTATATAGACTGATGATTGTTATTATTCACTTCAGAAGTATTCTGCCACTAACCCGGTCAGAGTGTAACCCTTTTACTCCAAGTCCACTACTATAGCATATCTTGTTATACAACTCTATATTTTGGATTCTGTACTTTTTCAATAAAACTTATTGACGGAAAAAAAAAAGGTGCCATGGTGACAAAACATACAGACTACTTTGACCACTTCAGCTCTCGGACCCGTATACCCCTTATGAATTAGAGCAATTTTCACATTTCCACTCTGGGTCTGTTTATTTGGCAATAACTTTGTCATTACTTACAATAACAAACCGAAACATGTAATGCTTTTTGGGAGGCAAAAGCTTCAGTAGACTTTTTCTTTTTATAATATTGTTTAGAATTTTTTTTTAATTTTCCATGGAATCTATAGACAAAATTACGTTAAGTTTACATTTTGTTTTATAATTGTCCTGTTTCAAATTACACTAAAATGAGGTTTCTGGTGTGAAGCAAATTTTTAAAAAAGGCAGCATTATTTTTAATCTTGCACATTTTCTCATTATGTAACACTGAAAAAAGTAACAAAAAAAGAATTTAAGTGGAAAAAAAAAAGCAATGATTAGGAAAAAGTAGTTGTTTTTTTAGAATGTATCTCTTATGTCCAAAATCCTCAACTGGTTAATAAAGCAGTGGTAAGAGAAGTCACTATGTGCACTTCCTATTTATCCACAGCAACTACTTACTGAAGATGAATCAGTGAAAGATAAGTTCTGACTGACTGGTTATTCTGGGTTAATGTCTTCTTCCCACCATTATTTGCTTTATTAATCACTTTACTTCCAGTACCTTAAACCAGAACCTTAGGCAATGAGCTAAATAATAGTGATAATATAAATATCATAATGAAATATAATAATATTTCAACATTTTTCACGTATCTGCTTAGGATTTGTAATTTTGTCAGCCACCCTGCTAATAAACACACTTAACTCAGAAAGCTCACTGTGCTACTTCCTGGTTTAACATTACGGTTTCCTGAATCACCTTTCTGCTCATTGGACAAAGTTGATGACGCTGATTTATTTTTCTATGAGCAGGCAGGAGATGGAGAGGTACCATTAGATGCTGCATTGCTAAAACAGGCAGTGAGTATATCCCGTGTCTGTGTAGACTGGCAGATGTGCATAAATCAGACGCCTGGCTGAACAAAATTTTACATGTTTGGCAGATAAAATAGTGAACATATTTATTACATCTGCATATTTAGCGGTTTGCCTTCCTCTATAATTCCTCGAGTTTTAGAAATGTTGGTTTTGCTCTAAATTACTTTTCACATTCACATGCATTCAAATATTACCAATTTATAGTTTTTGTTAATGAGCAGATCGGTTGCTCTATAATTGTCCTTTCTACCATTTATTGCCTCAGTGGTGTAACAAGAGTGATAGCAGATAGTAGTAGTAAGTAGCAAATGTCATTGGGCATTTGAGTGTCTGTGTGATGCTATATATATATA